CGCTGATTTCAATGGTGTATTACAATGTCTATCTGTAGGTACATGACCTATATCCACCTGAAAATCACATATTTTTTTTTTAGTTTAGGTGGCTGTGGTAGCAAAACTGTTAAAAATCGAGAAAAAAAGGTTTACGTGATTCCTACCCTAAGTTTTTAAGATGTATACAGTGGTAATTCCCTACTCAGTCAAGTTTTACAAAACTAACTACATCAACAATATTTAAAGAATTTTTTTCTGCTGGAATGACAATTACATATACAACCTGTTGTATTATAGGCCAGATATGTTCACTCTACACTGGGTATTCTATATGGAGGGCAAAAAACATTTAAACAAAGTGTCCAGTCCTTTCAGAGCACTTTCTACATAAAAGTGTATCTTGTCGATCACCAGATAGTTATTTTGAATTTGGGAGAGCTGAGGTCCTTCTGCAAGTAGATAAGGCTGGACTTGTCTGAATATTTTTCTTTTGAGGACCCGGTTTACCGGATCTTCTCTATGCCTCACTATATCCCCAGGTATCTAAAACTAAAAAAGTGTTGTTTATCATTGAAGTCAACTTAATCAAGTAGAATTAATAAAAATATACAGAGTATGATCCATTTATTACTACAAATACATGAATCACCCTGAATATTTAAATTTTAATTTAAAAAAAGCTATCAATTAGATTATAAATTTTGGCCTAAAAAATATGATTGGCATGACCATTTTTAGAAATGTTTAAAAACTTGCAAACTTACCATAGCATGCACCAAAATCCCATCTACTGTCTCAGTTGAACTAAATTTCCAGTGATTTTTGCCATTTCTTTTTCTACCTCTAGGTGGTATAATTCTAGCAAAGACTGCAAGCTGTAGAACTACTTTAGAATCTAAAAAATTATACATAACTTTGTTATTGACGAAATACTTGCAAAAAAAATGTATACCAATAATTACTTTTGGAAAAATGACACAAATAATCCTTTAATTTCAGCCTCAAGGTGTTTTAATTCAATATAAAATTATTTTATCTACATACCTTCTGATAAATCTACTTGTTCAAGAGAGCTTAGGTATTAGATCTTGCAAAATTGCGTGTCTTGAATTATTTATTTCTGTTCTTTTGAACACCAACAGTTTTTCAAAAAAATACATGCCAGTAGCTCTTTATCTGGGCACATACATTTTAAATCAGTGTCAATCTGAAATAAAAAATTATTCTGTTGTATATAACAACGATAACAACCTTAGTTTATGGAGTTATATATTAAAAAAAAAATATATTATGTACCTAATTCTACTTTAAATTTTGTAAAAAGAGAATTATTTATTGAGAATAAATTACATATAATTATAATTTTTTATACCAATTTCCTGTAATTGTTCCATAGATTTCCAGTGTTCTGTAATTGCTAAGATTTTACATTCATGTTCATTTACAAAAACTTCTAGTTTGTCAACTGCATTTCCCAAACACTGTAATAAATCTTCTACTTCTTTTACTATCTTTTAATCTAAAGATGCATGTCAAAGAGCCTACCCGAATTACTGATATTATTGAAATGCTAATTGACTATTTTTCTCCTCTTTTCCGCACAGTAATATCCTGTGTTCAGTCAATTCCACCTCATCTGATAAAGAGGTTGTTTTGTACTCATTTCCTTAAAAAGCTTAAGAAAATTAAATTCATATATGGTCGTTTGTTTAGCTAAACTATGATAAATTTAAATTAAAAAGCCACAATTTAAATTGACATAACTGCATGCTGTCTGATGATCCATTTAAAGTGTTTTACCATCAGCTGTGCAATTTTTTTAAAGCAATTTTTCCATCGCAAAAAAAAAATTAATATAAAAAATAAAAAAATCCTGGACAACTTCAAGCATAAGGTGTTCAGCAAAAAATATGCGAACTCTTACATTAAAAAATATATCTAAGATGAGTTTTTCATAATCTATTACCTCCTGTATAGAAAAATATATGGATGTTATTTAAAAAGTTAAGAACATAATACTATTATTCTAGAATTAAAAATTCTAATAATAAGGTTATCGACCATTCACTTTTGGGTACTAATTAACAGTGCTGTTCCTAAAGTGGCGCTGGGAAACAGTTACAAAGCCTACACAGAACACGAGGCTAATAACCGTAGGAGTTGATGTCGATGACAAAAAAAAAATAAGGTTAAAGAAACTTGAAATATTATCAATGAATTAAAAAACAAACAACATTCTAAATCCGTTACGAATAAAATTGATTCAGAAACATTTAATCAGTATTATTGCTCAATTGCTGAAAAGTTGACTAATAATTCTAAATCTTTCATTGATCCTTTAGATTATTTAAAAAATATACATGTTAACTCCAACTTTACTCTAGAATTTACAAGTTTTAAAATTGTTCGGATATTAAAAACAAAAATGTTGCTTGTTATGATGATATTTCTGTAGCGTTATCCTAAAACTTCCTGAATCAGCAATGTCGGGGTCCTAGCAAGTCTGATCAACCAAAGTTTTGTTGAATCAAATTTTTCGTCATTTCTTAAGACCAGTGTTATTGTACCCATATTAAAAGGCGGCAGCAATTACGATCCTTCGAACTTTAGAACTATATCTCATTCCTACACTATCTAAAATTATTGATTCATTACCTAGAAACTCAAAAATTGCTTGAAGCAACAATTTGGTTTTCAAAAGAACAAGAGCACTTTTAATGCGATATTTTCTTATCTTGAACTTGCTTATTTGAAAATTAATTTTTATGAGGCTGTAGCGGCGATATTCTGTGATTTGATTAAAGCGTTCGATTATATTAATCATGCAGTAAGTACTGTTTACGGGATCAAAAACGAAGCACTGAGTTGGGTAAAATCTTATCTCTCAGAACGTAAGCAAATATTAAGAGCTACTATGGAGTCTAAAGTTTAAGATATTAGTCCCTCAGGGTTCTGTGATGGGTCCCGTTTTATTCCTCCTTTATGCAAATTATAGCTCAACTTAAAATTGCAGGTACTTTCACTCTATTTGCTGATAAAGAAAGGCCTGCCCAATTTACATGTCATGATTATAGGCCCTTTTAGAAATAAGAGTAAAGGTATTATTATTAGTTTACTTCCGTCCATCAAAATTTTTGGTTTACATCATCATCAATATGTCACATATGTGCTGGATTTTTCTGTTAATATAATACAAAGAGTCTAGGTATGAACAAATTGCCAGTTTTGTAATTGGAAATAAAATAATCTAAATCTTGATTTAGTTAAGTCAATTTCAAAGTTACCTGATGTTACTTTAAATTAAATAAACTCTTGTGTTGTCAGTTAAACTAGAAGTTGATTGGGTTCTATTACAGGTCTTGTTCAAAAATGGTTCGATTGGAAAATTCACTGAGGTATCGGCATCAATTAGTGACTTGGTTGTCCAAATATTACATAATGGTCGCTTGCAACTGCATTAATTTTGTACTAAATGTACCTACTCACACTCTAGGTATAAAAGTACCAGAGCTTAGTTCATCATACATAAGTAGTAGCTGTGCTGGGGTCCAATGGGGGAATTCCTCAGATACACAAATGTTTATTTGAGGGGAATTTTTATTTTTTTTTTAGTTTTTCATATTTTTTCTTAATACCTGAATTAAAAAAAAAATATTGCTTAGTGGTTTTAACTTTAAATTGTAAAGGTTTCATGTGTGCCAACATATTTAGTAATTGACAGTCTTGATGGCTCATTTCTTGGAACCTGATTGATTTATTCTAGTGATTATAACTGATTATTTTCCTCGCCTGTCAACTTTGACATTTTAACCAATTAAATTATCAGTATAACCAATTAGAACCAAATAAATCGACTATTTTCACTATCTCATATCGACTATAATGCAGGGTGCTTGATATTCACCTATGTTGACAGCAACTCTCATACTTGATTATAGGTAACATATTTAATAAGGGCCACTGTTACATATTAATTGTCAGTACAAGCTAATATCTCGAGGTACATTTCAAAATGAACCAAAAATAAAAGTTATTTAATTGTTGCATTTATTTAGGTATTTAAGTTAGATCTAGGGCTCTAGAAATAATGTCATTAATTATAACTCGACCATAACACATTAGCGTCTATTTCTATTGTTAGTAAATTTTTCGTGTATTTTGCAGTTTGTCTTGACATAATTTTGTCATTAATAATCAATGAATAAAATATTCGAGCTAGTTCTTGGACTCTAATCAGATTATTAATGACAAAATTATGACTTGACAGATTGATATCAAAAACACTCAAAATTTAGATCCAATAAAATAGTATCAGTAATAAATCTAGTAATAATTAACTGTCAAATATACAAATATTTTTTTTTCTATTTTTAATTCTGCTTTCAATTCACTTTTTAGGTATATTAATTACATTGTTGCCATGTCTTTTTTAACTAGGAAGGGTTGTAGCACAAAATTAAATTGATGGAATATTGAATAGAGATTTGGGTTAAAATTTAAATGTCATAGTTGTAAGTAACCTTTTAACCTGGCGGTTAAAAAAACGTCTCAGAATAGACTCCTATAGCCATTAAATAGTAATAATGCAGAAAGGGAGAAAGGGTCTAATTAAAAAACTTTTCAGGTCAAGTACTTGTTTGGATTTTATGTAATTTGTGATAAATATTTAGAAGTAATCTAATATATTTATGGGTTATATATAAACAGTATATAGGCTCAGTATTTTTTTTTGTTAGTAGAATCGTTCTATTGAATAAATGTAACTTCCTTTTTGAAAGTGTAACAGTTTGGTAATGGGGGGGGGGGGGGGGGGGAGGTGTGGAATTTTTATAGTTATGGGAAAAAATACATCCATTTACCCTAGTATAGAGATATTTCTACCTAAACATCCCTAGCCCCAGGGGCCGAACCCCAACCAAAATTTGACATTATGATACATATTTTTCTAATGTGTTTTTGTTTTATTACATATTTAGCCGCATGGACGTAGTTGTAAGTCAATTTGTTTTTAGGTCAAGATGGGAGATGATTCTGAATTAGCTTCAATCCCCCCTCCTCCTGGTACAACGGATAACCCACCGCTGCCCCCAAATCCGCCATCACCATCGTCCAAAAATGAAGAAACCAATCACGGTGTACAACCAAATTGGACACATTATTATTACAATAACTTTTATCAACAACAGTATGCTCAATATTATCAACAACTTTCTTATATGATGCCCGGTTATAATTACCAGGCGTATTTAAACCAATTTAATAAAAAAGATGATAAAGTCCAACCTCCCTTACCGCCGTGTTCCCCGAATCCCCCCTTACCGAATTCTAACAACAACAGACCGCAGCCACTGTTAAACCAACCGAAACAATTTGGCCACATACGTTTCCAGTTAAATACTAAACGTTTGCCACAGAATAACGCCATTTTGCAGCTAAACAATTCTCCCAACAGCGGCGCTTCAAAGAAAAAGCGCAAACGAAACAGGAATAATCAGTACAATCTTCAAAATAATAATTTTACGGCACCTCCTTTGCCCCCGCCGGAATTGACTCCTCCGAAACCTGCTCCTCCCCCGGAAACGATGCCTCCAGAACCGCCATTACCGCCGCCTATCGAAGAATCTAAACCGCCTTTACCGCAAGAGTCTCCAGAGAATTCCCAGAACGGATTCGGGAATCCTTCTGACGACTGGCCGGAAAGCTTGAAGGATTACGTGCATCGCAGCTATGCCAAGTGCGTAACGGCGATCGATAAAAATCAAGTGGAAATCATTTTGAAAGGGAAAATCACGCAAGCTTATCAAAACAGCCAGTTGCACAAAGATTGGAGCCGGGAACCGTTGCCGAATATTCACAGCGAACGGCCCTCGTTTACAGGCCAGGCGAAAACCGTAACCGGACAATTGAGCCAGTTTCAGAATAATAAGAAAAAGGGCATTTCGCCCGGCTTGGGAGCCAGGTTGGGAGCGCGGCGGAGCACTTTAAGGGGAAAGAGTAAGTCTTCTTCTAGGTCCAGGTCGAGGTCGAGATCTCCCGCGGCGAGGAAAACTTCTAGGTCGAAGTCTGGGAGTCCAAAAAGGAATCGTCCTTATAGGTAAATATTACGCTTAATGAAATATTATGTTTTAATTTTGTTGATAAAAAATGTCTATATACGTGAAAACGTTTATTGTGGATAGTAAAAAAAAACTTCAGGAATGAGTAACAGAGTTGTCATAATTGAATCGATGAGTTCGAAAACCGTGTAAGTCCAAAATTTTACATTTTAAAGTAAGATAGCCATTTTGTTTAAAATTAGTCTTTTCATTGATTGAACTTAAAAATCGTACTATATACCTAGCTCTTAATGTAGCACAGCTGATTTCACCTGTGAAACGAGGAGAAAAACTTTACGAGTCAAGGACATGTACGTTTTTAATCTCAACAACAAAATAATAGTCAATTGCTATTGGGATCTAAAATTAAGATCGCAGCGCCGTCTGTACTTAACATTTAAACTAATTGTTATGGCTTGTTATTGTTTACATTTTTGAGTTTGTAAACAAACAACCCATAAAAAGTATTTAGTTTATATTGTGCTATTTTAAGGAAAACACAAGGGAAAACATATTGTTGTTGTTAATTTTTAGTGATTAGATACTTTTATTTCAATAGTTTTTAGGTTAAAGTAGAATATATATTTTTATTTGGTAAGTAACCCCCTATTAATTTTGTTTTTAAATTACATTCATTCATTTATGTTAATTTAAGATATATTTGTGTTATCTTTTAATAAAATATTAATATATTTATTTTATTTTTAGTGAGATGTCTGAAATAAGGCTAAGTTTAATAGAACTTATGAAGTATATTGATGCAGGTGAAAATTCCAGGACTGTTATTAAAGAAGATGCTATTTTAAATGCGGGCCACATAGTTTTTATGTGTAAATAATGAATTTAGTGATAAACACGTTTTTGCAGTTGTTCTCCAAACTAGTGCATTGAATTCAGGTCCCCATATTGTTGTAGGCCAGTGCAAGATGTTTAAAATTAGTGAATGGCAGTGTTTGTTTTAAGCTGGGAACAGTGGACAGTGCAAACATATTTCAGGAGTCTTAATAAAGTGTTCTAGGTGTATACTGTTTCAAATAATAAAAGAACTATCAAGCTAATTCGATCGAATACCTTTTGATTTTGTTCTACACCCACATGTATATTATTTATTTTACGCACTGATTAAAGAAGGAAAAAGTAGGCCATTGAACGAATATATTTATCCATTCTATGAACACTACAGATATGAAATCCACCAATATTTGGTCACCAGGATACCATTATTTTTTTAAATTTTAATTGAGTAACAATTCTGTCAAACTAATTTTCAGCATAGTTTTTAGTTATTGAGATTAAATATAAATTACAAATGATTATTGTGAAGAATCGATAAATAATGGCACTACACAAGATATTCTTTTATATTTTCAAATAAATCTAAAATCAGTTTATGATTATTACAAAAACTATGTGTCCTTGGTACGGAAGCAGAATATTTATGGCTTCACTTTTATGTTTGCATAAACTATTTGATAATCAAATTATTATTTCAATGTTCCATAATTTTATTTAACAAGATGTTTTAAAACAGAATAATTATTTTTTTAAAATCATCTATTAACACAAGTAGGTACTATTTTGTTTGTTTGTTAGTTTTGATGTAAAATTTACTTAGTCATAATTTGTAGTTTGTATTAGTTTTTAGTCTTAATACTTTTATAATATATTATTTAATTCATGTTACTTATTATCTTACAAACAATTGTATGACACTTCGCAAGTGTTCTTATTCTTACCTTCTTAACACACTGATGTTTGTAATGTTTGGATATTGTGTGAATAATTATGATATTAATAACATAAGTAATTCATGTGATCTCTTCTTTAATACAATAAATGAAAATATACAGCTTGAAATTTATGATTGATTTTGTACTTGAGAGAATATTCTTTTTAATAATTATTTTTATTCTCAAGTTTACTAGTCATCGTGTACAGTTACATTTTCTAATGAGTGATTGTACATTGATAATATATTTTTGTACATTTTTTATATTATTCTGTAATGGAATAGTTCGACACATGCAACGAAGACTATAGTAACTCATTATTTCCAGTTATGAGAAAATCTAAGATAATATAGTATTCAAAGTATTTAATGGCCTAAATGATTTACTATATTTGATGGTAGTATTTCTGGTTGCTTAACCTCTTCGTTTATATATATGATACTTATTTAGATCAAAGCTTTTGGCAAATATATGTGCTGGATAAAGGTAACTAAAAACTCTCAAAAATGAGTCTTCGTTGCATGGGTCGAGTTGATTCTGTTGGTAAAAAGGCTATTATTATAAGCAATAAATATAAAAATCAAATATTTTTTTTATTTTTCCTGTTAACAAAATATGCAAATGTTTACATAATAATAAACGTTCTTTATTGAGTTACAATACCCAATAGGCCATCTTCCGAAGTACTTCAGCTGATTTGACTGTATTTTCTAGTACAGTATGTTAAAGTTGTTAATACCAGTGAATGAACACAACTCTTTGTCAGATTTTAAAAGATCTGAAATTGTTTTAACTTTTGGGGTATGCGCACTTGTACACTAATGGCAATATACTTGAAAAAGAGTATTTGCAACCTCTGTCTTGTTTGGCGTGAGTAGCTAGGTTATCTTGAAACAAATCACTCTCAACTATGACTTTGTTTAATCTCACTATCACATTTAACACTCATTGAACTTTTTTTAGTTCGGACACAAAATCTTTATTCTGTGGTTTGGATCTTCTTTTTGTTCTCTCAATATTTGATTTTGAAGTTTATTGAACAGAATCGTCAAACATTTACGTAAAAACTGGCAGGAAGACACAGCGATTTTTTTTTATATTTATTTTCACTTTGGATGAGGCATCTACAACACAAAAAAAGGTAAAATAAAAACATTCAATCGAAAAATAAATCTATATTACCTCTAGGCAAATCATCTTCTTTAAAATGCCTCTCAATTTTTAATTTTTGTAACCATGCATTTCTTGCAGAATTTCCACTTGCAATTTATAAAAATTACCCTACATTTACGAACTTTAGGAAGCAAATGAAATGTAAAAGAAGGTCCATTTTTTTTAGGGCTGCATCCAGGCACCCAACAAGTGTGTTTTTCACTGATATTCCACTTATAGTTCAAATAAAATAATATTTTAATATATATGATATAAATTTAAAGCATTAGCTTATTATTAAATAAGATATTTCAAACAAAATACTTGTTAAATTTTAAAATATTGAAATGACCTGATAAACAATAAACAAAACTTGACAGAACACAGACGGTCAAGTGTCAAATGGCATAACTTTTAGTTCACAGTAGAGGGCGTATCGCTTATCTTCAGATCCCAATAGGGCGAGATTACAGAAAAAGTAAGTCTGCACCTTTGCAGATCTGCAAATATGACGGACTTACAGATCAATTTTTCGTATTCCATCTGCAAATCTGCCATATTTATTGTGGTTTATTACCCCTAACAACAATAAACCCAAATCCATTACTATGTTTAAAAACTGCATTAACCTGACACCACGAACTGTGTTCAATCAATAGCAATAGAAAACTTAATGTCATTAAAAAAAAATAAAGAAAAAAATTGACATACTACAAGTTTGCAGGATGTTAGAACCTCCTGCAAAGTTACAGATGATTTGCAGATGCAAAAAGTGAAAACACGTTTCTGTAATGCCATGTTTCTCTTTTGCGATTGCAAGTGATAGTTGCAGATGCAAGTACGATTTGCAGAGCTTCTGTAATCTCACCCATAGTCAGTTGGAAAACCACAAATGCTGAAAATGATGATTAGGTGACTGAGATAACAGTTCGATATTGTATTTATTCTCCTTTTTAAATAAATATTAATTAAATCAAAAACATTTCACCTGTTTCTTTATATTACAGGGTTGAGTTCAAAAACAGTACAAGTACGTATTCCATTTGTATCTGTCATTGGTAGACCATTTTATTTTCTGAAAAACTACCATTAAAAATACATTGCAAACCATGAGATCTAAAACTTTTCTATGCATGAAAACAGTCTGTCAAGTAGTTTCAATGTTTTTTTTTGTTTTTCTCGTAAGGCTGATTTTGGACATGTACAGTTTTAAAACTTACCGATTCAATTATATTAAAAGAATTATTTAAAATTATGCCAATAAAATGTTTAAAATAATTGTTGCTCAATATTTATATCATACTTAATTAACATTGTCTCGGAGGTAAATTATAATATTGAAATCTAAGGCACCGTACTTACACTTTTTAATAAAATCACCCAAAATGTACATAAAACATTTATAACGCGTTACCATATGTCTTACGACTTAGATTTTCTCTTTCAGTTTTTAACAATAAATAAAGTTTAACAACGTAATTCGCTATAGTCTGAATAAAAGAGGAGTGCAGTAAAAGTCACATTCCATAGGCGTACTTTGCAAAATAAGTTTTTATATAAATAAGGTCACAGCATATAAAGTGGTATATACGCACTTCGTAGAATAAATTTTAAATAAAAAAAAGGAATATTATTTACAAAAATCATGATTCCTATACTTTCCTTATATCTGTATACAGATAGGAAAGTAAAAAACCAAGATAAAACTTATTCTTCTGATAACATTGCACTTTAACATTGAACTAATTAAATTTAACCAATAAATAACAAGGAGAATTATATGTAATGGGATTAAACTTTTTTTAATCTCTTGTCATTAAAAATATCTAAAATCAAAGATTAAAAAAAATTATAAGTTCGAAAACTATCTTTAAAAGTCACTTTTTTCACTATAACTACTTTATCATTGTCTTTTCTGAGGTTTATTATTATAGGGCCTATTAAGCTTTCCATTACTATATCCACTTTCCAAAACCAATTTTTCACCTTTTTAACATGATCGATGCATTTTCTCCAGTGTTTTCCATTCACATCTGAAACTGCCTTCAAAAACAAATTTAAATGTATTTTTTCGGGAAACAACTTCAATTATGACCAGATCAGTTCAATGGGATTTAACTCTGCATGGTAAGGAGGCAATCTGAGAATTTCAATTTCTTTTTCTCGGGCCATCTCGTCTGTAATATATTTTTTGAATTTGTTTTTGGTACGAGTAATTCTGCCTTCAAGGATTTATGATAAGCCATTTTAAAATATTTTTTTTCTATCTTGTTGTAGGTAGTAACTCCTTTAACACATTGGCTGCGGATTTTTGTAAGCTTGCTGAACCTGGGTGCTACTTTTTTTTAATGTTTATCTTTTATTATGTTGTTGTAAATATAAATTCACTACTTTTACCGACATATACCGAGTGTTCGTGAACTTTTTATACATGACACTGATCCGTGTCATGCGCATATAGCAACATTTTTCTTGTTTCTTGCTGACTGACACGGATCCGTGTCGACAAGTTTCTGTTTTTCTCTTCTTGCGGGCAGTAAAAATGCAAGCTACATTCCATTTCATAAAAAAAAGTTGATAAAAAATTTTGCGGAACACAAATATATTCAAACAAATAAAATATATCATGTCAAACATAAAATACATACATCAAGAAGGCAAAATAAACATGAAAAATATTTTTTTTTAAGATAAAAAGCATTATTCGACATGGTATGTTACAAAACATTTTCCTGGACACAAGCCAGGCGCATCAGGGCATTTCTCGCAGTGATATATAGTGCTTTTTCTAATTTTATTTTGCGAGCATACCCTACACCTCTTTCTCTTGGTTTTGTTCTTAGTAGAAACGTTAGGAATTTTTGTTGGGTGGTGGGAAACGACTGTTGTGGCTTTGGAATCCGGAGTAGCTTTTGTCTGCAACAGCTCTTCTATAACCGTCAGCCGGAAATCATATAATGACATTTTTTGTTGTGAAGAATATTTTCCATGCAAATAATACGCATTCAAAAGCATTAGCTGGATAATATGAAGGCCTAATTTCTTGTACCACCGAAGCGTCTTCCTTTCACATGGATAATATAAGGTCATTTGATCCTGTCTATCGACCCCTCCCATGTACTTGTTATATTCAAGGATAGGCAAAGGCTTTACTCGTGCTCTATTTATTTTATCTGTATATTCAACCATTTCATTTTCAAACTCCGTTGATATATAAAGAACATCCCTCCTGTCTTTCCACTTTCCCACCATTATTTTCTTTGAATATTTGGAGTCTCTCCTTTTTCCAGTTTTGCTTTAACAACTTCCTTTGGATTATTTTTTCGATCGGCACGAAGTGTTCCACTATAATAAGTCTGTTTTTGTAGTAAAGTTTCTGCTAAGCCACAACTGTTGTAAAAGTTGTCCAAGAAAAGTGAATGACCACAATTCAGTTTACCTTACATCAGATGCAACACAACGTTTGCCGCATGTCCCTTTCCTCCTTTACTATCTAGTACTCCAGTGTACGCAGCTATATTTAAAATGATGCCATTTGGTTCCGAAAAAATATAGAGCTTGATTCCATACTTATGCCGCTTGTTTTTTTATATATTGCCTGAATAACAAGCGGCCCCTCCATAAAACCATGGACTGGTCCAGCAAAAGTTGTTTTCCTGGGTAGTAAACTGCAGCCATCTTTTGATTGAATAAATTCAGAATGGGTGATACCTTATATAATCGATCATTTGTCGTTTCGCCCTCAGTAGGATTCTTTGCAAAATGCAAACATCGCATAACCTCTCACGACTCATATGACCCGAAAAACATTTAAAATTGAACAGTGGATGCACTTTCCAGTAGTCTTGAATTTTGTTTAATTTTATTGTGTCTGTGTGCAATACCAGACCCAAAAATGTAAGTAATTCCTCTGTCGATAATGGTTTCCATCGAACAATTCTGGATTTATTGTATATACCTGGCTGACAAAATACTTCTTTGGCATAAATATTGGTTTGCTCCACTATCAGGTTCAGGAAATCGTCGTCGAGCAGGAAACGGAAATAATCAATTGGTTTGTCACCCGGTGAGGACACCAGAAGCTCATTTCTTTTCGAAAATGGAAAGTTGCACATCCCATTTGAATTGTTGTCCCATAAAAAAGGAATATTATCGGCGTCAGGCACTGCATTATCGACTTTAGGCACTGCATTATCGGCGTCAGGCACTGCATTATTTGATGCTTGGTCATTGACCACGTTAATTCTTGTCAAATTTATCAAAGGTACATCATCATCTGAAATTAAAACAGTTGCCTTCCAAGTACAAAAAAAAAATATAACAAACACACTTATCCGAGTCGGATGTGTTAAAATTCTCATCGTCATTGTCGTCACTAGGAATGTAATCCGACTCTTCATTAGTATCCAAAGTCGCTAAAGGATTCATACAATGCTGCCTGAAGCTCATCTTCAGTCAACATACGAGGGTTTTTAACAGTACATTTCCTTTTTTTAGGCTCCGACGACCCTGCCACACTATCCGCCATCTTTTTCTAATATCAGCTATTACGAACGACGCAAAAAATACGAATTTCCTATGTTTTGGCTATATGCTAACAAGCGCACGACTGCCTTCAACCGGTGCTCGCGATACACGGCCAACCTAAATTTACAAATACGCGAGACACGGATCCGTGTCATGCGCACATGACTAGAGGTGGTAGGTGACACGGATCCGTGTCGTCAGCACTGAATGTGTTAATCGACTCTGATAGGATGCATTATCCAAAACAACAGAATTGGATAAATTTTTTTTATAATTTTCAAACAGGGCCATCCATTTCTTTTGTTTTCTTTGACTCGAACATTAATAAATTATCTGGAAAAATCCATCGGTGCTTCCAATGTGTATGTATTGTTAATCGATTTCCTTTTCCTGTTGGATTTTTATTCCACAAGAGACACCTACCATCTGTATATCTGTATCTGTAACGTGTGGACATGGAGATGCTTGGCAATGACCAGTCAGAATGCCTGTGACTAGGCACAGATTCTGTCTAGTCATAATCAAGTATTTGTTTGTTGCAGTGTTGTCAGGACAACTTAAGAGCTCCCTGGCAACTCTGCAGTTTCTTGTTTCATCCTATCTTTTCTTGAATTTCACAAGGGAATGTTCTTCGATTAGGTCTGTCAACCGATTTTGTCAGGCCAATAGAAGGGCCAGGTCCAAAAAGTATTTGGTTTGCTGCTTTCTTGGCTAGTGAATGAGCAAGACGGTTACCTTTCGATGTGGCGTGACCTTTGATCCATCTTAAGGTGACCACATTGTTGATGGATACTTCGGCCAAAGCTTCGTGACATTCTAGTACTAATCCTGAGTAAATTCGTGGTCTGTTCAGGGTGAGTAGTGCTTGTCTGCTATCTGTATAGATGAGCATGTTCCTTCCAGTGATATTGTTTCTGGTTATTTCTTTTGCTGCTATGAGAATCCCCGTTAGCTCTGTTTGAACTACACTGGCACTATTGCTCACAGCCCATTATATGTTTAGGTTTAAGAATCTGGAGTATATTCCTGTTGGATATTTTATTCCACAAGAGACACCTACCATAAATGCTTGTTTTTTAATTTTCCATTTTTTTTACTGTATATCCAGCATTAATCCATGTTTCATCTAAATAAAATACCATTTTATGCTGATTCCTTGCGTCCGCTATTTTCCTTAAATTATCGTATCTCCATGCAATGATTTTGTCTTTTTCTTTTAAAAAGCTGTTTCTGTCACGTTTTTTGTAACGAAAATTTAATTCATTTAATATTTTTTGCAGATGAAAATATGATATATTTGTAAGAGTGAGGCTATTTTCTATTTCCTGTTTACCTTTATGTAATTTTAAAATGTGTCCCTCAAGCCACCTTATAAATTTTGGTAAAACATTTTTTTAATATCTCTTACAACAAGGACGATATCGAACTCTTCCACAAGATTGGCACACCCTGTATATAGCTACTGGAAACAACCCTTAAAAAAGGTAACGCGCCACAGTAAAACCTCAGAAGTGATGTGAAAATGGACCAATAATTAATACTGACTTCATTTAAATTATTGAAAAATTTGAAAATAATTTTTTTATTAAATTAAAAGGCTTATTTATCTTAATACATTAAATTGTAAGAGTGAGGCTATTTTCTATTTCCTGTTTACCTTTATGTAATTTTAAAATGTGTCCCTCAAGCCACCTTATAAATTTTGTTAAAACATTTTTTTAATATCTCTTACAACAAGGACGATATCGAACTCTTCCACAAGATTGGCACACCCTGTATATAGCTACTGGCGAACCAACCCTTAAAAAGGTAACGCGCCACAGTAAAACCTCAGAAGTGATGTGAAAATGGACCAATAATTAATACTGACTTCATTTAAATTATTGAAAAATTTGAAAATAATTTTTTTATTAAAAAGGCTTATTTATCTTAATACATTAAAATTTTCCCGAAACCTCCGAAAATCCAGACATTTCAGACATTTTTTACTTTCCATAAGAGACGTATTCAACTATAGTCACATCTCGCACGCTTCCCCGATTGTACACGGCAAAAGAAGCAAAGAACTATTATTTTATTGTATTTTTTTTTTCAGCGGAAGTTCGAGTTCCAGCAGCGAGGAATCTGGTAGTAAACCTGCGAAAGTAACAAAAAAACCTAAAGGTAAATTATCGGAGAGGCTAGGTCCGACGAAACCCAAGAACGGAAAAGCTTCCAAAAAGCAAAAGGCGAAAGCGAAAAAGCCGCCACCTCAATTCTATTCGAGTTTCGGTAGCGAACTCGAGGAAAATAGCGAATTACTGCAGCAAAGGGCTGCCAGATTCAGTAACGGTAAAAACAGCAACTCTACGAGATCGAGCGATAACGGCTTCGATAAAAACCAGAGCGTTAACGCCGTTGAGGATAGGTTTAATGATAATAGTAATGTATCTGTGAACTTTGACTGGTCGGATTGTCACATTGTGGGCACTTGTCATGATCTGGAGAAATCTTTTCTTCGATTGACTAAAGCTCCTGATCCTTGTGATGTTCGGCCAATCGAAGTACTTAAAATATCCTTACAGAATATCAAAGATAAGTGGATGCAGAAGCAGGACTACTTTTATGCTTGCGATCAACTGAAGTCCGTTCGGCAAGATTTAACGGTACGTACCTACATTTATCATTCGTTTTTGTTACAGAATATTCACTTTTATGTTACAAAAAAAAAATAACAGGTAAAATCTGTCTAGTCTTTTTTGCTGGCTAGTAATTTTGTTTTATACTTTATCCCTTTCAATTCTATAAAAAAAGATTTTTCTTATACGTTTGTTATATTTATACTTGCTTAGTATTATCTTGACACTTGTCCTATACATTATAAATGTCTTAGGGGATTAATAAATATTAATATTTCACGCGTGCCTTTAATCTTGTTAGCAAGTGTGTAAAATGAAATGAATCCCACTTCTTTGTGTTATTAGACAACTTAATAGTTTTAATGAATTTTACACAAAAATAAGTTATACTAACAGAAAAGCAATATTTCTGTTTCCCATTTTGACATTGACAGATGGGACAATTATATCCCATTGATATTACTTGATCAGACCCAGCTGCATGAATTCAGATGATCAATTCATTCAAACAAACGTCAACGTGTAGTCATCAAGATTTAGGCCTTTATATTGTTTTTGTTGAAAATCTAGACAAAAATATTGGTATAGTCCAATTAAATAACGAAAAAAAGCCCCTTTGAGCTTATATTAATTTGTAATTAGATGAAACAAAGTGGACCTTGTGTATTTTGATGTGATCTTTCCGAAAAAAAGAAAAAATGATGTAGCTGGTTTTCAATTTTTTTTAAATTAGGAAAAACCTGGTTTTCCGGAATTTTCCATGGTAAAAATGCTAATTATCTGGGCAAGTATCATTCTGATAGTAAAAATAAATGCACCAATCGAAAGAGGAGGCAAAAATAGTTCGGAATTTCATTGCACAGGAATTTCTCGCCGCCAGAAGTGCTTTTACCAAAAAGTTGTTTTTTCGTTTCTTTGATTAGAATCATGAACATGAAATTTGCGATGAATTTGTGGCGAAATTATAAATGTTAGACATATGTACCCATGAGAGAAGTTGCGTATTTTTTTGTGGGCTCTCAAATAAAATAAGTCCCGCGGCGAAATCTGCCATAATTTTTCGGGAATTCGCAGGAAACCGGAAGGCGTAATTTTTTTCCCATATGATTTTCTCCGGGTTTTCCGAAAACATCTAACAAAAATATATTTGAAGAAACTAACTGCGCCATCGGAAAGAGTACAAAAAAATATACAAAAAGGTAACTTTAAAAATGTTAGGAAATTAATCCTAAGCTTGAGTGTAAGTTCCAACTTGGTGATAAGCTTGTTTTTTGTTCTCCAACATCTGGTTTTCTTCTCGGTTGATGCTCCATCCTCCTTTTTTTTTTTGGTATTGTCAATCGCGGCCCTTTTATGCCCATCCCAGGTTTTATAAATAAACTCTTTTCCATAACGTCGAGCTACGTAATGTTAATATAAAACCTGGTCTAAAGAACTGAAAAAATCATCCCCCCTCTCTTTGCTGACTATCTGCAGACCTTTTAATCCTGTCGGTCTAATTGGGGTAAGTTCACCCTCTGCAAGTTTCTGATGACACAATAAACACAGGCCAGCCATTGCAACCTGGAAACAAAAAAATTATAGCACTGTGATATAATTTTCTTAATTTAAGAACGTACTTACTCAATAAATTGCTGAAGAAGTCCGAAAAACCACGTGTACACAGAGCTTGCTGAACACTAAAAATCTATGCCGATGAACACTATCAAGCGATTCAATTTGTAATAATATGACCGTTTCAAGTTTAAACTTGTCGCATAGCGAACGCCGAGACCATGGCTATCCTTGATACGACGTCCGGCTAATTTTGCGGTAATTCTATTTTTTGCACAAAACTCAAGAAACGTCTTATAACAAGTCAGTAAAATACAATTTAATAATTTTATGCCTAATAAATTTAGGTATGTAAGAAATTTAAAACTGGAAATCACAAAAAAATCAAATTACAGAAATGCACGAGTTTTGGATCCCGCGGAGCGCGTGTAATGGGGACATTTGTCGGGGGAATTCTACAACTTAGAAGAAACATACACACTTTAAACTTTGTATACACATTCAGAAGACATGAGATTTGGGTTTGCTCAATTTTCAGACCAAAAAACTGAAAATCGTCAATTTTAGGCAACTTTTCTCAAAAACCGTGTTTTTTGGTCGTCACTCAATGAACAGTGGTCAAAAAAATAGATAAAATAATTTTGCAGAATTTTCCGCAATGTAATCGTATTCTAGACATAATAGAGTATTCAAAAAAAAGTTTTGAGTCATTGGGTGCATTTTTGGCATTTTTGTGCCACTTCAAACTTTCGAAAAAAAATTTAGTTTGTTTTTAGGGAAAAAAAATTGTTAAAATGTTTGATATCTTGGCCAATTATAATCCGATTTCGGTAAAATTCACACACGTATAAGATTTCATATTTAAGAGTAAGCTCTGTAAGTGGCATTAAAAAAATTTAAATAGTTTGGCCGTTATAGGCAAACAATGAAATTAGGCTTGCGGTACACTTTGCCCTTCCGCCATATGCCCAATTTTGGGATTTCTCTTGCCCCCTTCTGGGAATCAATAGTCACATCCCTTAAGTTCAAAACGAATTTTTGTTTCTTCAAATATCTTAATTTTTACCAAAGTTATGAAGAATTTAGTGTTTGAACATTTAACAAATTCAATTTTTCGACCTTCGCCGCCTCAAAATACTAAACAAATTCCAATCGTTCATACCGCGAGAACGGTGCATCGGATCAAAATTTCTCAGGAGACATAAAAATTAGCATTTTTTTTAAGCTTTCAAATGTCGTAAACTGCGTTTTAAAAATATTGATTTATTTGCGACATGCGCATGCGCAAAATTGAAAAATTGACAAAATCCAAAATTTCGGCACTTTCGAAAAACTGCTACATTTGGTTTTGCCTTTTTTTCGAAAAGATCACCTCAAAATAGAATCCATTTTGTTTCATCTAATTACAATTTAATGTAAGCTCAAAACCGGTAATTTAATTCGATTATAGATTATTTCCCGTTCGTGTAGGTCATTATTTTTTTTTCGAATCTAGTATTAAAAATACATTTTGGACATAAAATCAGTAGGTAGAAATAGAGTTAAAAGTAATTTTTAATACTTATTCAATTGCAAATTCTCTTATTAACCATGATTGTATTAAACGTAACAATCTTATCGCTTATATCCCAAAATTTTTTACTTAAAAAAAGGTGTTATTCGAGAAGTTGATACATTTTTTGACGAAGTTTATCTTAAATCATTCATTAACTCTAAGAAGGAAGTCGTTAACGTGCAGAGAAGGAAAATCATAGATTCAGATGGTAATGTACAATATGTTCCGCGTCAAATGATTATTGTTACATTTTTAGGCAACTCAATTCCCCAGTCGGTCAAAATAAATTTATCACACTTCCCTGTCGAAAAATATACTCATCCAGTAATCCAGTGTATGCGTTGTTTGAGATACGGACATCCAAATTATGCAAGGCTAAAGAAGCTAGATGCAAAATTTGCACATCGGTTCATGAGGAAAATATTACCTGTAATGCAAATAATATTTTCTGCTTATACAGGGTCTTTCATAATATATGCGCAGGACTTCAGGACTAGATAGCTCTTCCAAAAATATGAACTATTAACTTACCCTCTAAAATGCACCATTTTCGAGATACAGGGTGTTGACATTGAAAAAAAAAAAAATTCTACGCCACTGGAAAAAGTACGGTTTTGAGACGCCCATTTGAACCGCCAATGTTTTCTACACAAAAAAAGGTACTCTTGGTCATACGCTCTAAAGTCGACCTTTTTAGAGAAAAAAATCAAATTTTAATGTTTTGACACTAGGTATAAAACATGTTTTAAATCACTCTATAAATACAGGTCTTGTCAGCCATCCTTTGCCAGTTGCTTTATACACAACGGGTAGCTTAGCATTTTTAAAAACTCTGGGTGTTTTTGATTTGCCGAGAACCAGAAGTGGTAATTTATGTGTGCTTTCAGCGTTACAACAGGGCATGAAGGTTACACGGTCTTTGGAGATTTTTCTGCCTGAAGCTGATTTTTCTTGACTATCGGGCAACACTCCCCAAAATGCCGCGGACTTGTCAGCATTATACACCTGTTCCTTTGTTAAGCCCATTTCCTGGACCACAGCACTAAACTTTTCTTGAAATGGGGTAAAGGCGTTCACATCACTCGAAAGTTTCTCACCACAAACCTTTAAAAATCGAATACGGTGTCGTTTCCTGAATTTGTCGAGCCAACCAGAGCTAGCCAGAAAATCATCTTTTTGGGTTATGCGTTCATAAAAGTGCTTCTCTTTTGTTCTTAAAAGATCTGAAGAAACAGATACGTGAGCAACTCGTTGTTGTAAAAACCAACTGTATAAAGCAGCCTCAACTTTAGTATTTTCGGCTTTTCTGATCACCTGCCGCTTGCTTGAAATTGTGGTTAACTATGCATTAGGTGGTAATACACGGGCGAAATTTTCGAAACATCGTATCCTAGGTATCAGACCCGCAGGATGGGGTCCGTCGGACATGGCCTTTACTTTAACATGCAACTGACCTAATCCTAGAGTCTGCGTCAACACACACGATGGAATATTTTAGGGGACTCAAGGCCAATGCCCACTACACCGGATCATACTATGACCGAGACCGTATCGGCATAGGCAGAAAAATATTCTTTGTATAGATTTAAATGAAACAAAGGCTCACTAGACCGGCCCGGCATCGACCAACACCATCCTCATTTGAATCTATACAAAAAAATCAGGTCCGGGCACGGTCATAGTATGGTACGGTATAGTGGGCATAGACCTTTATTCCGAATTTTATCAGATCTCTTAAAAAATCCGCTCGAGTATGCCTACCTATTCTTGCAATGACAAAAAGTTATTAAGCACATACCTGTCCCTTGATATGATTTTGACACAAAGTTTCTTATTTTGTCCTTATTTTTCTTTATATCAAAAATTGTGGATCTAGGCACTCCAAAATTTGCTGCCGTTTGACGGATACTTCCAGACT